CCCTTTATTACATAACGGGAGCGGCTGTACTTACCACACGCGCCTCGCGCCTTTATACGAAAAGTTGCCGTCAGTACTTAATTGCGGACGGCATGCAGGCGGGAGCATGGAAATTACGGCGTCGACATTGTTGCCTATGGCACGCTGCCACTGATCATGACGCCGGGACAGTCATAACAACGACTCTTTCCCAGCCTCCCTCACATCTCGTCGTCAGTCTGCGAAACTCAGACAGTCGTTTCTCTCCCCCCCTCTCTCTCTTTCTATCTATCTATCTATCTATCTATCTGTCTATCTATCTATCTATCTATCTATCTATCTATCTATCTATCTATCTATCTATCTATCTATCTATCTATCTATCTATATATATATATTAACAGCACACGAGTAGCTAGAGAGAAATCGGCGCTACGGTGCGCATTGTGAACATGCACGTTTAATTCGTCATAGTCGGCGCATCATTTACTGTCTATCAGTGCGTCGCCGATGGCCAATGGTGTACTTAGCATGCACAATTGCATGTTTTGTGACGGCCACAATTACGCTTGAGAGACGCGATATTTCGCCCGCGTAAATGCAGGTGCTCAGCCGCCGAGAGAGCCCACAGCAGCACTGAAAATTGCCACATAATAACCTGCCCATTTTGACATGCAATACATTGTTTCACGTTGTTAATGGGTCGAGTTTGAGGCAAGCTTTGTCAACTGTACGTAATACGTGACTCACGCACGCACGGACGCCCCACACGCCACTCGCGCGCACGCGCGCACGCACGCACACATACACACACCTACCGCTGTATGTTCTGCTTCACTGACGATCAGTACGAGATCTAGACTTAATGTATGCGTCGCGTGTCGCCGACGTCGTCATCGCCAAGGTGGGGACGTGTGCGGAGGCGATTTCGCATTACTTTGTTACGCGCCAAGCGCGGCTTTTTATTATCGCTCTCTTGTTTTGCGCCACGTCTGTGCGTGCGTGATTTCATCGAGTGCCTAGATCAGTAACGCGCGCTCGAGCCGCGTGCTCTTGTAGATGTCGAGGGAATACGATACTAAAAGCAGAGGAGAACGTAATACGCTCGCGTACGTTGATTATCGTCCTGGATTTTTTATTTTATATAAGCGGACGCCCCGCGCGCGCGTACACACGACGTGCGTCCTTTTAGGTCGCGACCAAGGTGAGCGCCGCTATCGCATAAAAATCTGCGAATTTATCTCGTAAAATTTGACGTAAGTGGAGAGAAATGCCCCTCGCGTTTCCTCGCTCATTATTAATGTAACAATGACGGCGGCAACGGCGGCGGCGGCGTCGGCCATGTTTGGCAGCGGCGGCCGTTGTGCGGCTGTCAGCGGGCCTAGTAACTCTACCGTGGCAGCGGCACGTGCCATCGCCACGCCCACCCCCCAGGGGCACGATTTTAACTGCACTCCATCTAATCCCCGCAATAAGGTCGATGACAAAAGGCGTAGATTTGGTATGCAGATAAGTGAACGCTACATTAAGTAAACTAGCCGAATACGGCGGTCATGATCTGATAATGCCATTAGCTGTATGCTAATGCACGGGCCGTGATAATTCAACCACGTGGCTCTAATTTCGCCGACTTAGCAGACAGCGATGATAATAGACGCTGCTCTGAGAACATTAACTCCATCCTGCAAATACGAGCCGTGAGCGTGAATAAACATCAGACATATAGATTCTACAGCACTCCGATAACCATCCTTTGGTTTATGATGTTCCTTTCTTCATATACCTAAATAATCGCCGTGGCTATTGCAAACACACTCTTCAGTGAAGCGTGTACAACATACGGGCACTCTTCCATCGTACATCAATCACGTTATATTATCCCGTTATGTTATAAAACGTAATAAGATCATGTTTTGAGATTAAACTTTTGAGAAAAATAAAGATAAAACATACTGAGATGAAACGTACTGAGAAAACGTAGGGGTAATGTTCAATATATGAGAGGATCTGCAGTCAATACTGCCGAACCGTATTAAAAAGCTTTATTTGTGCAGCTGTCTGTCACCAACAAAAATTCACTTATAGCCAATCTTACGCATCTAACGGTTAAAGTATATATATATATATATATAATTTATAGCTGGAGCGATGGCGAGGGGATGAGAGGGTGATTTCAAACCGGATCTGAGTTCCAAAAATCATTCTAAAATGCTTCTTGCGCAATCTACAAATATATCACTATACTGTCGCACTTAAAACCCCATTAGCATAAATCTGCAGCACGCTGCGCATGCAGAATAACCAGCGGGACGAGGGGTGGAGAGAGAGAGAGAGAGAGAGAGAGAGAGAGAGAGAGAGAACGAAGAGACAGTGAGATAGAGGAGAGCGTGATATAGATCGAGATATAGAGAGAGAGAGGGAGAGAGAGAGGGTGGGAGAGAGTCTATGGACGCATGCAGTGAAACGGGTGTGCGCTGTACGCACGACACGGGCGCGGGTGAGAGTAAGTAGTGTATGTCGCCGTGACCGTTGTACGAGCATTAGTGCGGTCGCGCTGAGCGTGAGTCGATCCCGCCGCCGTGACTCCTGTTACCTGTAACTGCTACGTTGTGTTTTGTATCCGTACAGCGGAAGCAACAAAAAACTCCGTGCGTACGGCGGGCAGGTATATTTAGAATTTAGACCTATATACACACACGCATTCACGTACACGCATGCACACCGAATATATATATATACACGTATATCAAAAAAGTGAATAAATTATTAAACAATTAAATAATTATATATATTATATATATTATATAATATATATATATATATATATATATATATATATAATTATATATATATATAATTATTTAATTGTTTAATAATTTATTCACTTTTTGATTTATTTATCTCTATACATATACATACAGTGGCAGATTTAGGTGCCCTCATTGAGATTTCTTGTTTCCGATTATCAGTGCAGGCTCTACGCAAAGTGTAGTGACGAGGCAGCGATTCATGTGCATGTTCTCAACGCATATAGGGTTCACACAAAAACCTGCACATATTCCTGCACGTATAGTACATGCATTCTGCCAAAACTATTAATATCTCTGATCTATAATACTAGCGAGATTCAAAGAGTAATTACGCACGTTGTGCTTGGCTTAGGAATATGGCAGGAACAATCTGTTTGTGAGTACTGCTGATTAATAATCATCTTTTACCTTGTTCAAACTTCGTGTGTAGCGTTCGATGATTTTTGCTTTAGCGCTTATGAATATGAATAAGTTGCTCTCTGATCGGATTAGTATTATCCCGAACAAACTGCACAGGTAATTAAGCACCCCGTAAGGGAAGCCAGAGGCGCGCGCTCATATAAACAACTGCGATCGTGTAGTCGTCAGCTTGTCGTCTGACGCAACATCTTTAACAACGCGGCTGGCTTTACGTTTTCAAGCAGACGGTCGCATCGAGGGGTTGGCCGGCAACACAGCACAACACCACGCGCGCGCGCACGCACGCACGCACGCACGCACGCACACACACACGCACACACACACACACACACACACACAAACACATTTCATATACACACACACGCGCGCACGCACGCACGCATGCACAAACACTCTCACCCACATTCATACAGACACTCTCTCACACACGATTTCCGTCGCTCTATAGAATTATAAAATGCGGTCGCGTAGTATTGCGAACGAATATTATTAGCACAATTATATTCTAAGCCGAATATCGATCCATATAAACTGCCATTATTAGGTGTGTTAAATGGCGAAAACTCGTTCATAATTTCCCAGCTAGTATTAGATATTTGCTTCCGTGAAGCACGCGCGAGCCGTTACTTTACAACAAACATTGTAACAATTCAGCAAGAAACTGCTACAGTGCATACTTTCGTGCGCACACATCCCTGCACAGTGCACACACACGCACGAACGCACGTTTATAGGGGAAAAAATAAAAAATATGTTTGTCCCTCTTTCTTTCTTTCTTTCTATCTCTCACCACTCTCCCCCTCTCTCGCTGCTGCACTTGTTTCTCTCTGTCTTTATGTCCCTCTTCTCTCTCTCTCTCTCTCTCTCTCTCTCTCTCTCTCTCTCTCTCTCTCTCTCTCTCTCTCTCTCTCTCTCTCTCTCGCTATCTCTCTCTCTCGTTTTCTCTCCTACTCTTTATTTGTCTGACTCGCCCCCTCTTCTTGCTCCCACTCTCTTTGCCTCAACGCATTTACATTTTGCCACATACAAAAGCGAATCGTACCTCTTATTGGTAATTCAACGCGCAAGTAGCAGACGGAGAAGAACAGTTAAAAGCGTGCCTGATTTGAATAAGTGCTTTGCTGTGCACCCGCCTGGTCACGTCACGCCACTGTCGACCGGCGAAGACATTGTAAACCGAGATCGGCAACGCTGCGATGGTCGTTAGATCTCAGCGGTCGTCACAGCGTTTCAAGCAGTGCTCTAATTGAGTAAGAAAAAAACTAGTGCTCTCTCACGCGACGATAACATGTCGACGAGGGCAAACCCTTTCATCGAATTCGTCATTTGAATCTTGACTTCCCTCCCTCGGCGGAGTTATTGAGAACTGAGAACACGCACGTACGATGCGGAGAGCAAAGTGTCCGACGAATCGCCTGTCGCGTCATTAAATCATTTGCTGAGCAATAATTAAAATAATAATGATTATTATAATAATAACAATAATTATAATAATAATTATTATAATAATAACAATAACTGCAATAACAACAGCAGCAGAAAGGCCTGATAATAGCCGTAAATGTACGCATGTATATGCGTTAGCTTTCGTTTTAGCGCCGCACCACCATCATTAAACTTATTGTCCAGATCAAACTCTAGGCGCGATTTACGAACGGCGAGTTGAATATCGCGCGAGGGAGTGACATTGGTTATTTATGTTCTTGCGTAATTTTTGAGTAATTTATATTATATGCGCACATCGAACGAGTTCGTTTTTTAATGCTCTCTCGCTTTCGTTTGCTCGCGCAGAACGAGAGAGAAGCCACGCCATCGTCATCGTCTATGTACGACGGCACACCGTTCGCCGCCGCCATCGCCGCCACCAGCTTTAACATGAATACGTCGCCGAGCCACCTTGCTCAGTCGCTCGGCCGGGCCGCCGCACTGCCGAAGCCGCCGCCACCGCCCGATAGTAGCGTGTCGAAAGTGTCGGTATCCTGTGCCAGCATCAAAACGGAGGCAGGTTGTCATGACGACGCCGGCAAAGGTGATTGGAGCGCACAGTGCGTGTACGCGTATAGCGGCAATCAGGGAGGCGGCGTACGCGACTCGATGGCTGAGCTCAGCGGCGGCCTGCGGCAAGGGGACGTCTACTACAAGCAGGTATCGCCGGCCGATTCGCGCCTCACCAGCCCGAGCGCCTTCAGTGGGGTCGCGCACTGCTTCAGCTCGGCCATGAGTGAGATACGCGGCGGAGCGGGGCTGGACGCGGGCCGCTACGCAGACACGTCGGAGCTGGTGGCAAGTCTGACCGACAAACACGGGCTAGGCATCGGCAGACAAGGTAAGGCTGTGTGTGTGCGTGTGCGTGTGTGTGTGTGTGTGTGTGTGTGTGTGTGTGTGTGTATGTGTGGAAACAACCTGACGCGTGCCGCGCGACGACCATTGTTAGCAAACTATAGTGACATCAAAGTCAACTCGCCAGCGGCCTATAGCGAAAATGTTAATGCTGGGCAGCGTGCACACGTGGCTCCTCGCACGATGTAGGAGACGAGTGACTAATTGAAAGGCAACATAATTGGCCTCATTCGCCTTTATAGGGCATATTAAATTGGCGGGGAGCCCTGGTTTCGGGTGGTTGCGTTGCGCGCGCGTCATAAAGCGGGGTAGGCCGCCACGGCGACAACGTTGGCGACATGGCATAGCTTGAATTGAATTACGTAATGCCAAAATGAAACGGCAATGTCGCTTATAATAATTTCGCACCGTGCCCGGAAATATATTTATATTTTTTAAATAGTTATCAATTATATACGCATCTTGTATGTTCTATGTAATATGCATACAGAGTAATGCCTGTGTCCGTGTATTTAATTCCCAGATAAGTACAACCTACAATAAAAATAGAAATTAAGTAAAAATATCGAAATAATATGTATTAAAATAAAAATAACACGAGCGTGTTCATGAGAACGAAACTGTGTCCCTCACGTTCTCGATCTTACTCGCTAAACATTGAGAATTATATCGCGACATAAAGAAATAGATGTGTGGTGGTGTCTTTGTGTTGGTCGCGCGGGCAGTGGCAAATTAGAGGCCACAGGATTTCCGGACGGTGCAGCGCACACGTTTACGGGGAGGGTCCTGCTCGAGCGTTTATTGCAAGGAACTAATTATTTCTGTTTCTGTGCCGACTCGCGCTCGTGCAGCCATGAACGTCCACCATCCGCGTGTGTAAAGATGTAAAAACGCCACAGCGGGTCGCAGAATCGTGCGCTCCATGCCATGTAGTGAGTGAATATATGCATATATAAATTTAATCCCAATTTAACACCGTGGCAGTAGCTGGTCGCCCGGTATCCGGTATATGTTAAGTCATATATTTAATATATATAATCATATATATACATATATACGCGAATGGATCGACAGCAGCTCTGTTCAGGGGTTTGGCTTATTTCAGGGCGAACACGGCCAAAGTTTGATCTCAGTTAAATGGATTAATAGCTTATTAATCCGCTTGTGCTTGCATTGTGGGTTGTAAATGCTTAGTTGCAGTAATGATTGACAGCTAAATGGAGTTTAATGTTATTTACATTTGATTACGTGTGATTTTTAGTCCATGTGGCGTGCCACCAGCCATCATGTAGATTTCTAAATATTACCATTGTATATGTATATATTCAGTAATGGGGTAGTGATTGTTGGCTAATGGATGTAGTGATGTTTGCTAGAAATCATCTATCTATATAATTGCACATAAATACACGTGGGCGAACGCACGTACGCATGAGCGCACGGACACATACACGCACGCGCACGCAAGCACACACTAACGTCGGAACGTTCACACCCACGCACGCACGCGCGCACACACAAGCATGCATACACGTACAGAAGCGTGTACACACAAGCACACGCATACGCGCGGACACACTCACACAGGCACACACGTACGCACGCGCGCACACACACATAAAATTGATACAATGGACTGCGCAAATGAAATCACTCTCTGAATATATAATGTCGTACCGCAGCGGCGTGAAGGAATGGGAGGATCTACCGACCAAGATAGTAACCCACTAAGCACGAAGCCTTTTCTAACCTCTCTTCCACTTCTCCTAACCTGGACCCGTCGTTCACACGCATGCGCGGACGCCATCGCCACGCGATGACCTTTCGCGTGCGCCCACCGCCGTGATTGTCCCGCTGAAAGCAGGCACAAAATTGAATTTCGCCATCGATGGAACTTAACGAACTTGAAAGGAGCGCTTGCTGCTCGCTCTCGGTGCCTCCAAAATCAATTGTCAATTTTACTCGGAGCTGGCGGCCGGGCGCGCACACACACACACACACACACACACACACACACACACACTACACGCGTCCGTGTCTTGCGCGTCACTTACTCATTTCATTCCGCGCGCCTTTTGAGCGGTCACGTACACGACGCTACTGACTAATTTAGCGCGCCATCCGGCCTGTTTTCGTTGCGTTTTAACTCATTCTGCTCGGAGGAAGCGCGCGCACAGAGTGCCTCTCCGGGCTAGTCAAGTAAAGATGTTTGTGCGTGTGCTCGTGGGTGCGAGCGTGTGTGTCTGTGTGTGTTTGTATGTGTGTATGTGTGTGCACGTGTGTGTGCCCTATCTACAATAGATAAGGGCGGCAGCGCTTGTACTTATGCCCGTTGGGCGTTGATTTCTCGCCGAATGTCACGTACCGAGTTTCCCGGCTGCGAATTCACGCTGCATGTATACGTGAGGTGGTAGACATTTAGCTGCTATTACGCAAGAGAAGAGCGAGACTAAGAAAAAAAATAGAAAGAGAGGGAGAGAGAGCACGAGTGAAGGGGAGAAGTGGGGGGGGGGAGAACGAGCGAGAGAGAACGGGAGAGAAAATGATAGAGCTTGAAGGATAGAGGGAAAGAAGGAGCGAGAGAGCGAGAGAGTGGGGAAGAGAGAACGAGAGAGAGAGAAAGAGAGAGGAGGGGGAGATAGCGCGCGAGAGGAAGAGAGAGAGAGAGAGAGATGGGGGGAGCGAGAAAGGCAGAGGCCAGAGCCTCGATATTAGAGTGACATCACTATATCCGGTTACGAAGTTTTCTCCTAAAATAGACGATGTGAACAACGTTAGTTTAGATTGATCACCAAACGAGAATCGCAACGAAAAAAACAACGTCACACATTACAGCCATGGATACTGGCAATTAGTAAAGACCCCGTTGCCGTACACACGCGTCTCGCTATCGAAATCAAATGCACGTAGTTGGGGTTCAGAGCTCGGCAACCCGACCATAGATATCCCATAAACGTATATATGTATATAATGTATATATTATATCCATAGTCCCGATACATATATACATATTAGATCGCCAGAGGTCATCCTTATCGGATAATCCTCAAACAAAAGAGCGTCTCGATTCTCTCGGTGTCTCAAAATCTGTACGCTGACCCCTTCTTGTCGGCACACCCATAACGCGGGGATGCCCGCCGACGGGTGCTTGCCGCAGTTAACAAGATTTGCATATACCGAATATATATATCTCCTCCCTCTTTCTCTATTTCTTAATCTCTCGCCCTCTCTTTCACTTGCTGTCGCTGTCGCGCTCTCTCTTTCTCTCTTCCCCTCTTCCTGTGTGTCTCTATCGCACTCCCCCTATCGTATCCTATCTCGCGATTTCCTCCTCTCTCTATATATACCTCTCTTCTCTCCCCCCCTCTCTCTCTACCCCCTCTTCTACCCTCTCTCGTTCTTTCTCTCCCTGTCCCCCCTTTTTCCTTCTCCTTCAGCCATCCCTCTCTGCCAGCCCACGCTCGTGCGCCACCGACATCATTCATCAACGCTGCGATTTGTATTCTGGCGATGCAGCTCGGCAGTCAGCAGCCGCTAGCAGCAGCAATGACGATGGTCTGTCATCCGTTGGCCTGACTAATGACCCTTGATTAAAGCGCCACGCCAACTTTACTTCTGCTCTTTTCCGCGCAGAAATTAACGCTTTCGCGTAGATTCGATTGTCGTTGAGAGGACGGGAAGGCATGCGGTCCGATACTATACTTTTTTCACACACCCACACACACACACACACACATACACACACACACACAGACACACACACACAGACACACACACACACACACACACACACACACACACACACACACACACACACACACACACACACTACACACACACACACACACACACACACACACACACACACACACACACACACGCACGCACGCGCGCGCGCGCACACACCAGATGCAAAACGACGTTAGTAAAAATGTGTTTTATAGTTTTTTTTCCTATTCACCAACATTTCATGCTGAGCCGATGGCGTGTGCTGATTTCAGGAAAACCATCGTTAGTGAAGTACGGCCCGTGTTGAATTCGCTCTGTGTCGCTATAATTCATGATGACATTTCGTTTATATGATATTGATCATCTGAGTGCATCTAAAATGGTATTGTGCAGCCGTTTGTAGCATATAGTCTGTAAGAGGGTGCGCACCGGGTAGAACGTCTCAGCTGTATATAACAAATCGCGTCCGTGCTAATCCAGATTGCATAAAATGTACACATTCGAGACATACACGCGCGCACGCACGCACGCACGCACGCACGCACGCACGCACGCATACCTGCATCTAATTAAAAACTAGGGAAACTTGGGCTAACATGTCGAGCTGTCCCATATGCTCTGATATTAAGTGAGAACTTCATCGAAACGATAAGGTAACTGCTACGTTTCTTTGGATTTGCAGCGTCAATAACGGCGCCGCTTCGTTACTGAAGAATTCAGGCAATATAATTATACACTCGATATACACCGCATCCATTCGTAGATGCGCGCGCACATAGCACACGCGCTCACGCATGCACGCACGCAGGCATATTCAAGCAGCCTGTACTCACGATCAGCCCCCAACAACTTGCACATTGCAAAACAGTGCAAATAGCGCATTCATGCGAACTTCAAACTTACAAGCGATTTTATGTCTCTTTATATCAATTTTTTATACAAACTTTTCTCACAACGAAAGGTGATTTTAGTCATAGTTATAAGGGCGGTTGATATATTGTTATTGACATGCTCGCAATATATTAGCGCGAATTCCATCATCGGCTAACTAATCATGGCGGAATAATTGCAGGCATGAATCAGAGGACACCTCTATCATTGGCCCAACCGGATCTTAACAGATTGCCGAAACCTG